GATCATACATCTTGAATGATAAAGCTAATGTTTGGGACATATAGGGCAGAGAAAAACATTGATCCATAGGGTCGGTTAGTTGATTTCATGGCAAGAGCAAATAAAAAGGTTGAGTAATGTAAACATCTAAGGAACCAGCCAAATCAGGCAAAGATAGCATTGAGTTTTTCTTGGCAGACATGAAAGTTGAACAGACACACCCCACCTTACCTCACCTCACCTACACTCACATCACCTCACATGCACACACACCCATACACTCACCTCATCTTGAGTTTGTGGCTTGCTGTATATGGCATTGACTGCTTTAGTCACAGCTTGCCATGTCTTTTTATTAACTACAGCCGCCAGTTGCCAACAAAACTTCCAACCAGTCCTCTTTCTCCGTCCCACTTCATAAATTATGAAGTCAATTTCCTCTGCGGAAATATTCCTATTCTTCCGCCTCTATTACAGTTGGCGTGTATATTTTAAATAACTTTGTTCTCACTACAATCTTTGAGAATCGTGCTGTAGGAGATGGGTGGCTATTAGGAGATGGTGGCTAGTTCATAAATGCTTACTTTACGATACCTTACGCTAACCCACGAACTGCAGCAGAGCAACGATATTAGGGGTGAGTATTGCGACCAAAAACCGTATTGCAATATATTGCAATCTGACAAAACCGTATTGCAATATTTTCCAATACGTATTGGGAAGTGTATACCATGCATGATATAGTAACAATTTGATGGTTTTAATATCATCATATATTGTGTATTATATGACATGATTTAATTTCTCATGTTTTTCTTGAGAAACAGAAGCACGGCAATGTTTTCCGCTGACAGTACAGCCCTCTGTGCCGTAACAATGTCACCCGCTGTACTGAATACCCTCTCGGAAGGCACTGACGTAGCTGGAATACACAATATCCCTCCTGCATAATTGGCTAATACTGGATACTGAAACTGAAACTGGAACTGAAACAGTGGGTGCTCGCTTCAGCTTGTATCGCGCGCGGGCACTCAGGTGAGCATAGGCTATATATAGACTCCCTAGTTGCCGTGCTCTGTGCCTCGCGCACACGTCTGCCCCAGACTGCCCGCGCAGTAGTATCGCGCAGTGCTCCATGCAGTGGCCGCTTACCAGTAATACTGTATGCGTCGTGCACGCATTGTGCATTCGTAATATATACACCGCCAGTGCATAATTTTCGAGCCCATTAACAATATAGACATAAAGGCAAGTGTCAAGTAATTTATTTCTTGTTATACCACCGTATCGTAAAATATCGATATCCGGAAGTTGTATCGCGATATATCGAGTTTTCAAAATATATTGCAATATACCGATATACCGGTATATCGTTACACCCCTAAACGATATAATAAAGTTTGTACTTGGACTAGGTGTGTTGTTGTACGTGCTGCTTTGGGATTTTGAAAAGCCGACATTGATTACCAATCCGATATTTAGGTGACATTTATCTTAATGCCAACATTCTGCCTGATGTGCTAGATGGTGTACAGAATATGGGGAGACAGGAACCTATGGAAATGATAAAGCACATCATGGAGAGGTGTTATACGTAAACCACGTTTGGTCATAATGTAGGGAAGCTTTTATTTAGCTCCACCCTGTATAAAACGTATATATAGTTTTTCCAAACGTTAAAAACAATATATGATACGGTTAAACCTGAGTGGTGCGACCACTGATCTCTATTATACTAACTAGTTTAATAGTTAGTATAATAGTTAATTAGTTAGTATAATAGA